ATATCTTGAGGTTTACCACAAACGCCATGTAAGGCAGCATAGCTACTCTACAGCATACGTAATCCCAGTCCAAATGGCTCAGGTCTTATAGATTCTCCTTTCTGTCTAAGTTCCTTTTCTACCCCCACTTCTCCCTAAAGTTACTGGAGCACACATCGTATTGTGGCTTAAATGTTGGCCAAAGTTAGGCTAATCACTGAGGCCGCTTCCCTGGAAATCTAGCTGGATCCCTCATTCCTATCCAAGCCTCCTCCACAATAAAATGAACCAGCCTTTCCTCCTCCGCCATTCTGAGGAAATTCTTCCATAGACTTGAAGACGGAAATTTGGCTCCCTGACATTTCCAGAAAATACACAGCATTGCTGTGAGCTATGGATATATTGTGTCCACACTCCTGCCAGGTTTTCTTGAGAGAAAATATTTTTGAAGGCCGACTCTCCCTAAGTACGATGAATTTTGACTCAAAGTAGAATAATCATGCTTCATGTTTGACTAATTTTAGAGTTTCAAACCATATGAGTCTACATTTAGCTTCTTGATTCTCATGCTAATCCTGTAAGTAGGAAGAGAGCCTATTTTTACAGATTTTGTGGGCGAAAATATGCCTCCTTAGAAAATAATTCTTCAGGGTACTTTGGAAAAGGATGGAGATTTTGCTCAGTTATAAAGAGAAAATTGGGGGAAAATCAGTAATCTTTTTGATATGGGCATGCATGAAAAAATATTTCACTATCATAAGTCAATCCTCCTCTTCTATCAGAACATTTATGAAATACTTTTCCTCATGCTTTAACCAAGTGTGTTGATTGTTCTTCTTAAAGAAGCCAAAATACTGTAGTTGGAAAACATAGATCCTAATGACAGAGCAGGTAGGGGTTAGTCATCTCCAGGACTGTAAACTTCCACATGACAGAAGTGTCCATTTGACTGACCTTCACAGCCTAATACACTATAGCCAAGAACTCTAGAAGTGTTTTTGATGGTGATGTTTTAGGGCTAAAGTATGTTACATAGCTGTCACAGCAAGGAAGAATATGACATAAATGCTTTTGTCTGCACTTCCAATTTCATATTTAATAGTTTAATCACGGGCTTTTATCTTGATAAACAATTCCAAGAATTTAAAACTAGGTTCCTGGTGGGGAATGGGAAGCCCACAAATTTTATACCTGCTTGTGAAATGCAAAATCTTGTCAATTACTACAAATGTATTGATAAAGGAAGAATCTGGTATATAAATGATGAGTTCTTAGTCCTTTTGTGAGAAGGAAGAGAACATAGGAACATCTCAAACAAAATGGCCAGATCTCACCTATTAGATAAATATTTGTATCTCTACACACCAACACACATGAAACAATAGTTTTCAAGACAATGGACATCAAGAAATGAAAGACTGATCCCTGAGAGACAAAAACAAATGAAGTAAAACCTATGATTGCTCCAGCTTACTGCTATGGGGCAGGAAGAAGGAATTGGGGTGAAGCCCAATGCACTCCTTGAGATGAGGAGACAGAGATGAGAACCCAGGGAGACCAAAGTGGTAAGAGTTCCCAGGACAAAATGCCAGAGAGGAGAGAGCTGCACAGACAGAGAACACCAGAGATATGCAAAGGGTCCCCTCAATTATTCAGCAGAGTGGTGAGGGCACATGCATGTGATGAAATGCCCTGAGCCTGGGGGAAGAACCATCAGAAAAGATTACAGAATAGTTCCAGTTGCTCACAGAGGGCCAGGAACAGTGCCTTTTCTTGCCAGAAAGCCTGTAAAAACTCATAATTCATAGAGTATTGGAAAGAAAACTCAGGGAGGTCTTGTCTCAGTAGGGGGAATAATTAGCCTTAAATTAAGCACTGCTCTAGACTAGCCAAACAAATCATAATAGCAAGACCTAAAAGGAACAAATAGTTTTCATGTAACATGAATATTTGTAGTAATACACAAGTATTCCACATCCAAAAAGGAAAATTTCACAATATTTGGAACACAAAGAAGCATGAAAACATGACCATAATCAAGAGCATAATCACTCTAAAACAAACGAGAACTGACACAGATGTTAAAATTAACAAAGATATTAAAACAGTTATTATAACTATATCTCATATGTGAAAAAGTTAAGTAGAGACATGGAAGATACAAAAAAAAAGATTCAAATAGAATTTGTAGAGATAAAAGTTGCAATGTCTAGGATGAACAATATACTGGATGGGATTAATAGCAAATTAGATTTGGTAAAAGAAAAAATCAGTGAACTTGAAGATGTAGTAATGGAATTATCCAAAATAAAACTCAGGGAGAAAAAGGATTTTTTTTTAAAATGAAAAGAGCATCAGAGTTCTAATACCCTCTCTCAATACTTGGTAGCAGACCAGCAGGAAGACAGTAGTCTTGAGCCACACTAGCAACTAACCTCACCTAATGGATATTTATAGAACACTCCACACAACAACAGAATACATATTCTTTTCAGTACACATGAACACTTACCAAGATAGACCATTTTGTGGGCCATAAAGCAATTCTCAAAATTTTAAGAGATTGAAGTCACACTAACTGTATTCTCTGACCAAAACAGAATTAAATTAAAAATCAATAGCAGAAAGATCTTCAAAAAATCCCTAAGTATTTGGAAACTAAATAAGATGCTTCTAAAAAAAATCCATGGTCAAAGAGGAAATCAAAAGGGAAATTAGAAAGTATGTTGAATGAAAATAAAATCACAATATGCCAGAATTTTTGAGATTCCACTAATGCAGTACCTAGGTCATCTATAGCATTAAATTCCTATGTTGGTAAAGAAGAAAGTTTTCAAATCAATGACTTCAACTTTCACCTTAAGAAATCAGAAAAAGGAGAACCCTGGGTAAGCAGCAGAAGAAAGGAATTAAAATTAAAGTGGAACTCAATGAAATGGAAAAGAGAAAATCAGTAAAACCAAAAGCTGTTTCTTTGAGAATATCAATAAAATCAATAAACCTATAGTCAAAGTCACCAAGAAAAAAAAGAAGAACTACTAATATCAGGAATGAGAGAGGAAACAAATACTAAAAGGGCAATCAGAGAATATGATAAATAATTTTTTTGCCTATAAATTAGCTTGGGTGAAATAGACAAATTTCTTGCAATTCACAAATTACCAGAGCTCATTCAAGAAGTAATCTAAATAGCCCTAAACCTATTAAAGAAATTGAATTTGTAGTTCAAAATTTCCCATACAGAAAACTCTAAGCCAAAATGACTTCACTGGTAAATTCAACAAAACACCTAAGGAAGAAATAATATCAATTGTACACAAACTCTTATAGAAATCAAAGAGGAAGGAATTCTTTTTTTTATTTTTATTGTTATGTTAATCACCATACATTACATCATTAGTTTTTGATGTAGTGTTCCATAATTCATTGTTTGTGCATAACACCCAGTGCTCCACGCAGAACGTGCCCTCTTTAATACCCATCACCAGGCTAACCCATCCCGCCCCCCCCAGAACCCCCAGTTTGTTTTTCAGAGTCCAAAGAGGAAGGAATTCTTTCCAGCTCATTCTCTAAGGTCAGATTACCATGATAGCAAAACCAGACAAAGACTTTACGTGAAAATGAAACTGTACTCCAATATTCCTTATAAACATAGCTGTAAAAATTCTAAACAAAATTTTAAGTAAATCAAATCCAATAATATTACCTTGATTGTCATAATCATTACACAAGGTGTAGTGATATCAAAACACCACATTGTACACCTTACAATTTTTACATAACTTTTGTCAAAAAAACTCAACAATAGATAAAAAAAATAATGTGGAGTTTACCCTAGAAATTCAGAATTATTTGAGCTACAAACATGTAATGGAGCGTTTGCCCTGTTAATAACATTATCTATGGTGGGTTTTTTTTTTTTTGCATTCTATTTTATTATTAAGGTTTTATGACATTAATACAGGTTAATTAATTCATTTGTGGGAATTATGAGGAGTAAATAAAGTAATAAATATACAGCATGAATAATGGGGTTGAGCACAAATGGGGATCAATAAATTTTTGCCAGTTAAAAATCTACTTCTTGCTTGATTAGGTTTATAGACACACTTCTTTCACAGAAAAAAGAACATTGGCCACCTACTTCCTGTCTTTCTGAGCTGGCATTTCCTGTTGTGGCTTCACTGACCAGTCACCATCCACATGATTGTGGACATGGTTTTATGATCCCTTAGGCTTAGAGCAGTGCTACTTAAAGTCTGATCTACAGCAAGATAAGGCATTAGCATCAGAATGTAAATCAGGGCACTGTTTCCTTCATTGAGAAAGTCTTGCTACCAAAAAAAAAAAAAAAATAGCCAAACTAAACAGTGTGCTTAGTAATGTTGATGACTTACAACATGGTGCAAGCTCCTTATTTTGTCCTGGGCCAATAAACTGTTTGCAGACTGGCACCTTAAGTACCAACACCTTAGAGTTTTTAAGGTCTTACACAGAGTTTGGATTCTAAAGTCAGCATTTATACTTGTTCTCATGACATCATACTATGGTACATATTTTGAACATGTGTAGAAAGGTATATGTGTTTGTGACATCAACAAATATGACTTTGACATATATACTTTTAGGGCCACTGCATAATAATTAGATCTCATGCAAATGTGTACTTCAAATTTTGTAATCATGTGGAGTGCACTAAAAATAGTTATATGTTTCTCATCTTACATATGAAAATAGCGAGAGGATCAATCAGTCCTTTGACAAAGATCTGAAATAGGCTAAGAAATATGTTTCTTTTCACATGACAGCACCTGTTGAATGCCAGTGGTTTCCCATGCAGTGTGTAGAGACATGTTTAGAGAATGCATCTGGGAACAAGTACTGTAATTAACTTATGTTGTCTGCCATGGTTATGGGAATAAAGCATGGCAAAATCCCAAGATGTGTATTGGTCATCCTTGGCTAGGAGTTCCAAGTTTAGTCTTCTACTAAAAAGAGTGACTTGAGCTGTTCTATTGCAGGACATGAAAACCATGGCAGAAAAGAAGAACCAGGTCTTACTGATGAACCTGGAGATACCCCTCTTCAAGAATATTACATGGATGTGGCCTTCCTCATAGATGCTTCCCGAAGAATAGGAAATGATGAGTTTAAGCAAGTGAAAGCTTTTCTCATCTCAGTGCTTGATTACTTTTACATTGCCCCAGACCCACTGACCTCCATGTTAGGAGACAGAGTGGCAGTCCTGAGCTATTCTCCTCCAGGCTATATGCCCAACAGTGAAGAATGCCCTATCTACCTGGAATTTGATTTGGTTACTTATAGCAGTATATTCCAAATGAAACATCATCTCCAAGACTCTTTTCAACAGCTCAATGGAGATGTTTTTATTGGCCATGCTTTGCAGTGGACAGTTGACAATGTGTTTGTAGGAACCCCCAACCTGAGGAAAAACAAAGTTATCTTTGTTATATCTGCTGGCGAAACCAACCCCTTAGACAAGGAAGTCTTAAGAAATGTAGCGCTGAGAGCCAAGTGTCAGGGCTACTCCATATTTGTGTTTTCCTTTGGTCCTATACACAATGACAAGGAATTAGAAGAATTAGCCAGCCACCCACTGGATCATCACTTAGTCCAGCTTGGCAGAACCCACAAACCAGATTTGAACTATATCACGAAGTTTGTCAAGCCATTTGTTCATTTAATCAGACGTAAGTCATTAAACGTTTTCTCTTCTATTGCTTTTGCAGTAGATTTAATGTCTCTGTGTACAATCCACCAATTGGCTTAGTAATAAATCCTTACTTCAGTGGCGAGTGGTATAGTCTAAGGTGTGAGTAGGAGGCAGTGAGAAAACCAGAGAAAAATATCAGGTCTTATTGACCTTGAACTATACTGCTGCACTGTCAAGGTCTTTGCCAGAAAACCCCCATGTAGGTAGAAAGTGTTTTTTAACCGTAATCTGTTTACTATGTACTTGGTACTATGTACCAACTTCTTTAAATGGATTATATCATTTAATCCTCAGTACAGCCCTCAAAGGAAAGTACTAGTATCTCCATTTTACAAGTGAGAAAACTAAGGTTCAGAGACATTAAATAAATTGCTCAAAAGCTTACAGTTTAATAGTTGGCAAATTCGAGACTCAGCCCCATGCATTCTGAACCCAGAGCTGTGCTCCTGTTCTTTAAACCATATTTCAATTCCTATACCCTTAACGAAGTACACTGCTGTAATCAGTAATATCCCACTACCATCACCCTCCATCTACTCCAGGACTTCTGTTTTATCTTTCATTGTAAATTACCTTTGGTTATGACTTTAATTCTTTTGAGCCATGGACATGAATCTCTTCTAGAGCCTTTGTCCCAGACAACTGGCTCAGGCATAGCCAAGCAGGGTCTTAAGGGTGTCTTTTTATAGTGGGGCTTTGAGAGTGACTGCCCCAGCCTCTGTCCGTGAGTTGCAATTTTAGACATGGGTATAGCAGTATACATGAGAGCTTGTGACATCAAGCAATTTCTGGCCTGTGCTGGGATTAGGAGTGAGGCAGAGGCCACGTTGAATAGTTATTTGCAGCTCCTGCGAGTTTACCAGAGAATAACAGAGATGCAGATTTGCTGCCACTCACAAAGCCCCAGGGCTCATGTAACCCTCAGGAATTTTGGAAATCACGATTTATGTGTATCGTAGCAGGCTTGTCACTTGCAAAAAAAAAATGATGCCTTCTTCCAACCCTAAGATAAATAGGGTCAACAATTTCAATAGCTCAATGTGTCTTCTGGAAAGACCTTCCTTTTAGAGGAAGAGAAATAGATGTTAGAAGGGATTGAAAGATGTCCTTGAATTGTATCACAAGCCTGTGAAATACAGAGTTTGAGAATTTTTGACTCAATCACTGCTGTATCTCATTGACTTTGCCAATGAGGTATTGCAAATATCAGAGGGTGTCTACTTTGCCGATTACCTTATAAAATTAATTTGCTCTTGAAGACACCTCCAACCACAGGAAAAGATGAACTGACTTTGGACAATAGACTATAGAAGGGTAAAATTTAGATTAACCAGCCCACTCTTTCTCCAGGTGCCATCAACAAATATCCCCCTGCAGATCTGAGACCCAAGTGTGTTAACATCACCTCTCCCAATCCAGAAAACGTTGGCTCAGGAAACAATGTATTGTGAGTTGGCAAATTCACAGTTTGGGTAATACTACAGTTGGAAACAGTCCTTATAAAAATAATTTGCAATGAATGGTGCTTTAGTTTTCAGGATGCAAGTTTGGTTGGTGTGTGTGTGTGTGTGTGTGTGTGTGTAAAATACTCCTGGTTTGTGATGACTCACAGATCTGGAGTTAATAGCAGATAGACTATGACCCATATTAGAAAAAACCATGTTTCCATTTCTGTAGCTTTTATGAGAAGAAAAGGCTCTTTGTAATACCTTATATAACACCACTCTAATATTGGGTACTGCCAAAACAGAAAACTTACAACATCAAATGTTAGGTACCACAAGTTTAAAGCAGAAGAAAAACCAAAAGATAAAAAATGGCAAAAGCAACCAAAACATTTGCCATTTAAAAAACAGAACCCATATGAAGACTGGTAAGAAGGATTCTTTTATGTTTGATTTTGCAAAGTACAACCCTTAAGTGTCAATAAAAATTCAGTGGTGAAAATAAGACTTCTTTGGAGTCCTAAACCACTGATACAACATTCTAATTTTCCTTTGGAATATTAAAAAATTGCCCCTGAGTCAGATTTCATCCATAAACTATTTGGACTATTCCAATCACATGCACAAAATTTATTGCTGTTCTATATCTGCCTGTATTTACGTTTAATTCTGCAAGGGGCTTGACTAATGTATTTTTTATCTCTTTTCTCTGTCACCTTAGCTTTATTCCTGAGGTGTATAAAATAGAGACAGGAAACAGTGAGCTGTTTGATGAATCTGGTTCCCAGGAGCAGCATTCCTTTGTATTAGGGAACAATCCTAGTAATGGTTCTGAGACTACTACTGATTTGATCCAAAAGTCATACATGCTCTTTTCAACTGGAGAACTGATGAACGATAAAGAAGAGGCACATTCAGAAGAAATGCCAGCTCTAGCAGATGGTAAACAACGAGATAAAAAAGGTAACCTTGGGTACAGTAGAATTGAAGACCCTGAAGTACTTTTGTTTGGATTTTCCTCTGGTGGAAGATGAGCAAGGATGAGCAAGGATAACTCACTAGGACAGGTAGAAATGACAGGATAGAGGTGCCTATCATCTAGGGCTGCAAGGGGTTCCCAAAATGAGGAGGCAAACAAGATATAACTCTAGAAAGGCAGAAAAGGGAGTCAATGGTGTTGACAAAACCAGAACTAGAAGTAGGCAATGTTTGGTGTGGTGTCAGGGAATGGAGACAGGAGAGGGATGAGAACAAGGACCACACAGGTCCTGAGTAAGCAAGCAGAGCCCTGCATCCTTGTGCAAAATGCAGGGCGGGGGGGAGCTATGCAACAAACCTCCAGTGTTTGAGGGTCTGCCTTCTCCCTTAGTATCCTAGGCTTTCCTGCTCTGAGGTGTGTGCTTCTAGCTGGTGCCTGGAATGGACAAGGCTGCTGTGGTTTTGAGACTTCTTTGGAGGCTGAGGACAGCTTCTTAGGCAATGTGAGGAGATGGTTCTGGACCTACAGCTAAAGGGAAAATGGAAGATGGAGAACAGGAAGCTATAGTAGGCTCTAGAGCAGCTATTCACAATTTTTGCTGTGTATCAAAAGTATATGGGAAATTATTTTAAAATAAATATTCTTGGGTGTCTACTAAAGCTGAAAGTATACATATACTATGACTAGCAACTTTAATATATATTCTCAACAGAAAAATATATATTCACCAAAAGTTATGTACTAGAATATTCATAACAGCACTTTTGTAGTAGCCCCAAAGTGGAAACAAAAATGCCCAACAGCAGGTATGATAAATAAATTTTGGCATGATTATATAATGAAATACCATGTATGTATGCAGTATATATGTACAATGCTATGTAAGTATGTAATATATATCAACACTTCATATATACATCTATACTATATGAATTAGATATTGGTATAATGATATGTATAGCTAGTATATAGATATTGAACATGATCAGCAAAATGATGGAAAATAGGAGAGATGAGGATAGAGGAAATATAGAAAAATATAGAAAGGGGAGAGAAGTAAGAAAAGGAAAATCAAGTATAAAAACAAGGAACTATCTGGTTCCGATCAAGATGGACTAAGCCTACTTTAGCCTCAAGATGGACTAAGCCGATATTACCTTTCTCTCCCACTGATTACAACTGAGAACTCTAGAGAAAATACAAAAAGCAACCACCTGAGATCTCTGAAAGGTAACAAAAAGCAGATTTTAGTGAAGTTTCTCATTTTCTTTTCTGATTTCTTTTGTGGCTTTGTGCTGAGGGCAGACCCCAGTCCTGGAACTGTGTAATGGCAGTGGGTCAGGAGGCTAAAACTCAGTAGAAACCTCATATTTCTGGGTAGAAGAATATAGAAAGGGGAGAGAAGTGTAAGAAAAGGAAAATCAAATATAAATATATATATAAACACTAGGAAAAGGGCCCTTGTTTGTCAGAGGTGGTGGAAGAAATCCCCATTTTCCCTCTCTTTCATGTTTGTTTTTTTTTTAAGATCTTGTTTATTTGGCAGAGCACAAGAAAGCGCAGAAGCAGGGGGAGAAGCAGAGGGAGAAGGAGAAGCAGGGTCCCCACTGAGCAGGGAGCCTGATGTGGGGCTCGATCCTAGGACCCCAAGATCATGACCTGAGCCGAAGGCAGATGCTTAACGAACTGAGCCACCCAGGCGCCCCTCTTCTCACTATTTCACCCACTGTTTTGTGCTGAAGGTGGGCACCGTTTGGAGCTGGGTAGAAGACTAACTAGCTAAAACTAAAGGGAAACCCTGTTTTTCTGGCCAGAGGAACTAGGAAGAGAGGCCCTTTTACCCAGCATGTGGGGGTAGCCCCAGAGAGAAGAGAAGTGGAGAAGGGGATCCTATAACTCTAATTATGGGAGCTGCACACGCCCTGGGCTCTCCACTAAGCTGTGCATGGATGAGGAAGATCCAGGACAGGACAGCAAAGGCTTTGGACATTAAACTGAGGATGGAACCACTGCCCGCAGGAGGTAACACAGCACTTGCATTCTGAACCTACCAAGCTAATTGTCTGCTGACAAAAAAAATTAAAATTCTACACAGAATCATACTAGGATTTAAAGTCTATACAATATAATATTCAAAATGTTCGGGATAAAATCTAAAATTAGACAACATACAGAGAACCAGAAGATGTGAACTATTCTCAAAGGAAAAGACAACCAACAGACAAAGCCCTTGAAGCAGCTATGAGAACTCTATTCCACGAGATAAAGGCAAACAACTTGAAATGAACAGAAATGAACCCGAAAGACATTCTCAGCAGAAATGTGTGGTGATGGGCACTGGGTGTTATCTGTAACTAATGAATCATTTAACACTACATCAAAAACAGGGCGCCTGGGTGGCTCAGTCAATTAAGCGTCTGCCTTCGGCTCAGGTCATGATCCCAGGGTCCTGGGATGGAGCCCTGCATCAAGTTCCCTGCTCAGTGGGGAGCCTGCTTCTCCCCTGCCTGCCATTCCCCCTGCTTGTGCTTGCACTCTCTCTCTCCTGCTCGCTCTCTCACTTGCTCTGTGTCAAATAAATTTAAAAAATCTTTAAAACAATCAAACGCTTCATCAAAAACTAATGATGTATGATATGTTGGCTAATTGAACATAATAAAATAGAAACATAGACATAATAAAAACAGGAACTGAAAGGAAATTTTAGAAGTGAAAAAATATACAGTGTCTGAAATTAAAAAAAAAAAACATTGGAAAGCCTCAAAAAGCAGAAGGAAGAAGACAGAGGAAAGAGTCAGTGAACTTGAAGATATGTTAATTATATAATCTGAAAGGGATTTTTGAAAATGAACCGAACCTTGAAGACTTATAAAATAATATCAGAAGGCCAACATTTGTTTCATTGGCATTCTAGAAGGAAAGTAGAAAGAAAAGGAAGTTAGATTCAGTTAGAAGAAAATGTATATTTGAGAAAATTATGGACAAAAAATTCCCAAAATCATAGAAGATATAACTTTACAGAGTTTAAAACCCCACTCAAGACATATCATTAACTGCTGAAAACAGAAAAGAAAAATCTTGAAGCAGCTAGAGAAAATCTACATATTACAAAAGAAGGGAACAATTCTTCAAATGATGGTAGATCTCTCATCAGAAACCATGGAGGATGAAAGACAGTGAAACATCTTTTTCTTTCACATACTGAAATCAAAGAACTCAGAACACAGAATTTTATATCCGGTGAACATAGCCCTCCAGAATGAGGGCAAAATAAAGATATTTCTAGATAAAGGAAAACTAAGAGGATTTGTTGCTGACAGACATGTGTTAAAGGAAAGCAGTGATGGGAGAACCAGGGAGTTGGGGTGAGGCCAAATGACTAAGGACCAGACGGCTGAGAGAACATACTGAGGAGGGGACCCAAGAGGGAAATCAAGGAGGGGATTGGAAAGGGAGGCTGGTTGAATGAGACAAAGTGGCATGTACCAGCTGCAGTTCACCCATGTACAGAGCCATATTATCTATAAGGTAATTTCATATAAATGATCCCATTGAGTTCCCTCCAAAACCCTATGTAGGAGACAGGAAATAATACCCCTCATATTTGGATGCAGAAACTGAAGCTCAAATAGGTTTAGTGCCTTCCTGGGACTTGACCCTGGTCTGGCAGGTCCTGATTTAGTGTGCTTTCCCAATACTGGAAGAAGGAATCAGATCTGAGATAGAGAGGGTGGATGTAGGAGGGGATATCTTATTCAGCTCAGGCTACCATAACAAATGCCATAGACTGGGGGTCTTAAACACAGTAATTTATTTTCTCATGGTTCTGGAGTCTGGGAAGACCAAGATCAGGGCACAAGCCAATTTGGTTTCTAATGAGAGCTCTCTTTCTGGCTTGCAGACAGCCACCTTCTTGCTCTGTTTTCACATGGTGGAGACGGTTCTAGTGTCCCTTCTTCTAAGGTCACCACTTTTATCAGATCATGTCTCTATCCTTAAGACCTCATTTAACCTTAGTCACCTTCTTAAAGGCCCTATATCCAATATAGTCATGTGTGGGATAGGACTTCAACATATGAATTTGTGGGAACACAATTCAGTCCACAGCAGGGCATATAATTAACAACATAATCACAGGAAGGAACCCTATAAATCAGCATTTCCCAAGCTTGTCTCTGCACTATAATGACCTGGGTGTTTGTTGACAATTCCACAGTCCAGCTCACATTCCACATCACTTAGGTCATATTCTCTGGGAGTGAGACACAGGCATCCATTTTTTTTTTTGAAGCCCCAGAGAAATTCCAATGTGCATATAAGTTTGAAAAACACTGCTATAAATTTCTATTCAGTCAGTCCTGTTAGATATCTTGAGGTGAGATGGCTGCTGAAAATGATAAGGTTGGTAATTCAAAAGGATTATCAAGTGAGCATTACCGAGACCTTTCTTGTTTGTTATTATTCTTCCAAATTTCTTTCTTCCAGAAGTTTTCTCCACTTTTCTACTTAATTATATGTCCTACAACTAGAAATCTCTTTACTCATTTCCCTCTGAGAGTTCTAGCCAGCAACTTGATTTGGTGACATTTGGCCGGCTCTGCTCCTTGAAGTCAGTCTGAGTCTCTTTAGGAAATGTTAGTTTGGCTTCTTTCTTGAATCATGGAAGATTAGAATTTGAAACTGGAATGACTTTAGAAATCAGTGAGTTGTCCTGTATCTTTTTATAGATGAGGAAATGGAAGCTGCAGACATCTAAAAGTGTCTTACCAAAGAATATTCACAGCACCTAGTCCAATACCATTTTGTCACAAAGATTTATACCCTACAATTATGTTTATAGAACACATATTCACCTTAAAGTTAATCCATGGAAAAAAGATAATAAAATCTTTATCTGAAAAAAAAATCATTATCTGGGTTGTTGAAAGGTTGGAGATGATACATATGAAGGTCAAAATACACACTGTGCTTGGTACATAATCAGCTGGTATTATCCTACATGAATGATCTAAGTCTGGTAATATATTTGACAATTAAAAATAAAAATCCATTGTGAAGAATGATCAGCCCTTATATGCTTATCTTTGCTATGCTTATCTTTGTTTTCCCAAAGAGTGTGGGCTTTTCTTTTCAAAAAGATAAAATCTTTTCAATTTTATCCATCAACTTAATTTACAGATTATTTTGCTCATTATAATGTACATTTGCGAGATTTTAATGTGAATTTTTAAAAATTATAACTGTATGCCTTTTCCCATTATGCCAATTTAGGGCTTGTTTCTTTGTTTTTATTTTTCTAATATCAAGTGCGGTGTTTTTCGAAGTGTAGTCCCTGGACCATCACATCAGCAACATCTAGGAAGTCATTGGAAATGCAGATCCTTGAATCCTACCCAAGACCTGCTGAATCAGAAACTCTAGGGCTAGGGCCCTCCAGATGATTCTGATGCAGGCTAGAGTTTGAGAACCACTGACCTAGTATTACAAATATTGAGCCTAAATGAGTCTTCTTTAATGGGAGTCCTTTCATTAGCTATTAATAGGTAATTGGGGGGAAATTTTTCCTGTAAAACACTGATAAGTAGGTATCATTTTTGCAGGACTTCTCAATGCCTTTATTGGGCTAATCTTCACTGTGATTCTGAGAGGGGCTATAGTGAAACCACTATGACCACAGAATCTTGTATCAGGGAGCATCTTATTGGACTAGTATTTTACAGAAACCCTCTGGGAAGCAGTAGTTGAAAGAGTGAATCCAGGGATCACTGGATGGGGACATGGATTTGACTCCTATTTCTGTAGTTACTGCTCATATGATCGTAGGCACATTTCTTTGTCTTTCTGAGCTTCCGTTTCCCTATCTGTAAGATGGACATAATAATAGAGCCTACGTTGTAGGGTAATGTGATTACTAAACAAATGTGAAGTGCTTCAAACAGAACTTTACATAGAGTGAAAGCTTAATACATGTTAACTATTATTTAAAATTATGATGATGATGATGATGATGCCCGTGATGATGACAAATGACATTAGAATTGATGGCCATGGTGGAAAGAATGCCAGATTGGGAATGAAGAGATCTGGATGCTAATTTTGGTTCTGTCACCAACTAACTTTGTGATCTCAAATAGTCACCTGATTGCCTTAGTCTTCAACTTTCTTATCTGTGTAATGAGGAGCTTGGGAAGGCGAGTGTTTTTCATACTGAGAGACCCACAGACTTCCCAGGGCAAGGATTTCTAAAAATTAGTCTGTCTAAAGGACTCTGTCTACCTGAGAATGTCTCTCTCTGAGGAATCATGGAGGGTCTCCTTTCCTGCATCCCGTTTTACAAATGCTCCCCCACCTCATGCAAAAAAAAAAAAAAAAAAAAAAAAGCATATTTCTCAGCCATCCTTTTTTTTTTTTTTAAGATTTTATTTTTAAGTAATCTCTACACCCAATGTGGGGCTCGAACTCAACCCCGTGATCAAGAGTTGCATGTTCTTCCAACTGAGCCACCTAGGCATCCCTTTCTCAGCTATTCTGAATCTGATTATGTGCTTTTCCCAAATGTAAACCCTCCTAAGGAGGCACAGGACAGGGGGTGGGGAGCATGTTGTCAAACAAGGAGTCATTTTAAATACTGGATCTGCGGGCCTCCGTTAAGCCTTCAGGTCTTTCCCATCCTGTACATGTTTCTGTTAAGAAAGAAATGTGTTGCTAGAAATGAGGTATTTGAAGTCATGTTTGAATGTTCTGAATTCAGGTATACTATAGAGTGAGGATGGTAGGAGTGATGATAAGTGTCATTTAGTAATCTGGCCTGTTCTATTCCCTGATCTTGGCAAAAGATAGATCTCTTCTAAGTGAGAAATCCGTGAGAACAAAGCAAAGAGCCTATAAGTGAAGTATCGATGGAGAGCAAGCATTGTTTCATCAGGCCAAAAAAATCATAGCAAAACCCTTGATCATTTACCTATCTTGGAATGGAATCATAAGTAAGATGTCATCACAGAGACCCTCAGTAACATACTTATTTTGATTGGAAGACCAAATCTCCCAACTGAAAGAGGTGTTGATTGGTTTTACTGTAAGGATTAGTTCTGCTAATTAGGCTATGTTGGGGGATATGTCCCATTAAGAGAATGAGCTAAGTTGGAGCATCAAAATTCTGAAGAAAAAGATATATAAAACAGATCATAAGAAATATTATAAAAAATATAGTAATAGCATACATGTGAAGTGTGCTTTATTTATCAATATTAAGATTTTCCAGCCATATTTTAGTTTCTCAGGTTAAACACCATACCTGTAAGTGAAAGAATAACCAGTATTATTAATAGCCATTTGATAAGTTTAGTGAAGTGTTTTTGGGTACATTTCCCAGAAGTGAGAAAATGTTATCCAGTGACTAGGTAACAGATTCTTTTGTAAAAAAAACCTTTTGAAAGATTACTGTGTAGTTTTTGGCACATAACTCAGATTTCAAAGATTTGTTTGGTATTGCTATAATAAAACTCCTTCAAAATCCATTTGTCTATGTAAACAATATTTATCAGTACTTAAATCTATAACAATAAATATTAATAGAATTAATATTAAACTTTGCCTCACTCTAACAATAAATTGTAGTAGTAAGTAAAAGCAATAGGCAAAAACTGTCCATCTCAATAAGAAATGCATTTCCAATAAAATTTTTAACTTTTGTTTTGGCAGAATTACCAAAATTTAAATACATATGCTGTTTTGATAAATTGTAATGGTAATCCATCAGAAAAAAATGTTAGGACATAGAAGCTTATAGTCACAGGAAATAAAAAGCATGTGCTTAAGTATATTTTTTACAGAGGATTATGATTAGGCAAACAATAAAAGATTTTAAAGCATTTAAATATATTATAGTTAAATGAAATTCTGTGTGGGAAGTGGAATGGAAATACATGTTTAAGGAGAAAAATGAACACTACAAAATATCTGACTTTGAACCATGAGCATGTTTACATAATATTTTAAATGGAAAATGGTGCTATCAAATCATTGTGCTATAAATATTCTATTGGGTAAATTAAAATAAAAATGTGAGGGTGGCGGAGCAAGATGGCGGAGGAGTAGGAGACCTGGATTTCGTCTGGTCTCAGGAATTCAGCTGAATAGAGATCAAACCATTCTGAATACCTACGAACTCAACAGGAGATCAAAGATAAGAATAGTAACGACACTCTGAACAGAAAAGCGACCACTTTCTGGAAGGTAGGATGTGCGGAGAAGTGAATCCGAGGCGATATTCGGGAGGATAGACGGCGGGGGAGGGGGCCTCCGTCGGCCGCTTCTGGCAAGTGATAGAGCCGCGAAGCACAAAATCGGACCTTTTAGAAGTTGGCTCGGCGGAGGGACGTCGCTGCAGTGGCTAAGCGGGGGGTGGAAACCTCGCGGGACAGTGTGGTCTCAGGACCCTCAGGGTCATAGAAAGACCGGGGGTGCCTGAGTGCGGTAGAGCTCCCAGGTATCGGAGCGGGGAAGCCGGCTGCAGAGACGGAGCCAGGGAATGGGCTCTCAGCTTGGGGTTGCCATAAACCGTGATTCACAGCAGTTGGGCCACTGCTCCTCCAGCAGGGACCCAACAGGCAGCAGAGCTGGGGAGACGCCCCTTCCTCCCCAGGGAGGAGCGGCACGGGAGCGCACCGCAGGGATCTGCTGGGTTTGGAGACTCCACACAGGGTCGGGTGCCAGAGATAGCAACGCTCGGTCACAGGCCGGGTGAGCACGGAGTGCGGCCGGAGACCAGGGAGACGGGAATAACTGCTTTTCTCTGGGGTCAAACTGAGGAGCGGGGCCCTGAGTTCTCAGCTCCTCCGGGTGGAGATTGAGAGGCCATCATTTTCATCCTGGTCCTCCAAAGCTGTACCGAGAGCTTGCAGGGAACAAAAGCTCCTGAGAGCAAACCGGAGCAGCTTGCTTAGCCCGGACTCACAAGGGCGGGGCAATTCAGCCTCCAGCAAAGACATGTGGGAACCATGGCAACAGGCCCCTCCCCCAGAAGATCAGCACGAACAGCCAGCAAGCCAAGACCAAGTTTACCGATCAAGGAGAACGGGAGAACTCCAGCGCTAGGGGAATACTGCCCATAGAATTCATGGCTTTTTTACCATAATTCATTAGTTTTTCAAAGTTAATTTTTTAACTGTTTTTCTTGAATTTTTCTTTTTCCCTTTTTCAACCAACATCTTATCAATCCCTTTTTTTAAAAAAACATTTTTTATTTTTCATTTTTAGAGTCATATTTTTATCCCTTCATAGTAGTTACCCTTATTTTTGGCGCATATATATATATATAAGTTGTTCTCTCTTTAAAATTTTGAGATACAGTTTCTTCTAACAGATCAAAATATACCCTAAATCACTAGTGTATGGCTTTGTTCTAGTCTCCTGCCTGATCACATTCTCTCCCTTTTTTTTAAATCTTCTTTCTTATTAAAAACAACTTCTTATCAATTCCTTTTATAAAATCTTTTATAATTTTCATCTTTATAGTCATCTTCCATTGCTTCATTGTATCAACCCTTATTTTGTACATATATAAGTCTTTCTTCCTTTAAAATTTTAGCAGGCACTTTCTTCTAACAGACCAAAATACACCCAAAATCTAGTGTGTGGCACTGATCGATGGACTAGCCTGATCATATTTGATCATATTCCGGTTTGTTTTGTTTTGTTTTGTTCTCTTTTTGTTTGTTTTTATCTTTTTCTTTTTCCTTTTTTTTCTCTTTCTTC